TGCAATAAAAAGAGTATTATTGACGCATGCAACTATGCCTACATGGAGCAACCATAGTTTTTGTATGGGTCTCGCTGAGTATTAAATTACAAAAGATAATAACTAACTATACTTCCCTTGAGAGGAATGGGCAATATAATTGCCACTAGTTACCCTTATTGAATTTCCTAATCTTTTTAGAAGTCACTTACTATTAAATCCAATTCAGTAAATAAAGATGCAAGATGACTCCGTAAGAAGTTCTGCCATCAAATCGAAAAGGCTGAGTAATTAAAAAGTAACATTATCCCAACTTGAAGAAAAGATTCCTTAGGTAAATTCTGTATAAAGTGCTACACTTCAAGTGAACTATTGTAAATGTATTGTCATGGAAGTATATAGTTCCGAGATAGCTCAGCATCCATGAGGATCTCATGCATTTCATTCTCATAGAAAATAGAGTCCATAAACTAAAGTTAGTGAATCCACTCATCATAGAATAAATACCATTTCCTTAAAGAAATATCTACTTGATGAATATTTCTGATATACCTCCATAGAATCTTTTATTGCAAAGAACATAACATACACATGGACAAAAACAGCAAATATATTCATATTGAAGAGTCACTCAATTGTATATAGCCGATTCAAAAAGAAAAGAAATTGTTTCCTAAATTTATTGCAAAGCACACAGCAAAAGCCATTCTATGAAAGAAAATCATAAGGAATTTTACGCTTCCATGAACCACATAGTTTTTATTTTCTGTTGGAGTAATTTTATTCAGAAAAGAATCAGCCAATAACTTACTTTCCTGAGAGGAAGCATGGTTCTTAGAATAATTTTAACCTCAATTCAATTCTCCAACCTATCAATGTTAATAAAATTGACAGATGCTGTGGAAATTTTGCCGCATTCAACCAGAAAAAAGAGGCTTTGTACTAAAGCAAGATAAGATTTACAGATGATAATGATTCTATTTCTGCTTAAGGTAAATTCTTTATAATCTAACTTCGAGGAACTATTTGTAAAATGTATTGTATAAGATAGTTTAAACAATCAATCAATATTGTTGGATTTCTTCTTTGTTTTCAATCTCATACCTTGATGAATTTTTTTTTTTTTTAAATGAAAAGAAGAGAATTGCCAAATGTAGCCAAAAAATTGAAAATTGAGACCATAGTTTGTAAAAAACAAGAGAATAATATAAACGCCAGAAATTGGCTTGGATCAAAATCACCTAAATTTTAAATAAACGAAACTGAAATTAAAACTACATATTTAATTGCTCAAAATAATTTTGACAGGTTGCCAACAATGCAACTACGGTCAAGAACAATACGCCTAAAACAACAGGAATGAAAAGAAAAAAAAAAAACATAACGGGTGACTTAAGCAGAGACAGTGCACAATACCTTTAATTTTCAAGAATTTCTCATATTTTCGTGAGAGTTGCCATATTATTGCTGGAACAAAACTGAGAATATGCATAAATTACCAGCATTTACGATCTACTCTCTTCAGGCTTGGCATTTACATTGGCTGCCGTATCAAAGTTTCATCCTGAAACAACATAGTAAATAGATCAATAAAAGGGTGTTTATTACAGTTTTTTTAACAATTCACCCTTTTTATAACTTTCTTTAACCACAATTCTTTATGTTGCTTTTAAGAAGTGAGAAAAAACTTCACACATCATATCTATTAAGATGTGGTAATATGTTGTCAAATAATTGATGTCCAACTTATTTTGAGTTAGGAGTTATTTTAGACATAATGCCTCTAGGCCAAGGATGCGAAAAAATATCTGCCTGCGCAAGAATATCGACGCATATCCCTTTAATTCGTTTCAGTATGATATTCCTTTTTACATCTAAAATTTCCAATATTGCCATGACGCAACCAGCAGATTGTGGTCCAACTAACAGGTTAAGATAAAAAAAGCTGACTTTTCCTACCATATCATCCATCTCTCTAAATGCCAATCAAAGCTCCATCTTATAGATAGAAATTCGAACTAATAATTTCTTGCCAAAATGGAAGGATGGATCAGAGCATCATCCATGTGTAACCTAATAATTTCTCACTCAAATTCACTTTTATTTCTAACTGCATCCCATCAAATGGAGAAATCTAGCGCAAATTTGTCATAATTAAAAACATCTCAAATTTAAATAACCAAATGAACCAGTAAAGAATCTTTTATAAGAATTATATTGTTAATTAATCTCAGCTCACATTTAAACAAATTAAAATCAAATTAACAACAATTTAAAGAATTATAATATTGCTGTATCACAGGCACATTGCTATGTCATCACCATTCGGAAACATTTAGACATAGTTCTATAAAGCCAACTCAGCAAACATCTGGTGGTCTCACTTGTAAAGCCTGGAAGCTTTTTATAGAACATCCACAACATTCAGGATTTCAATTGCAATTGATGTTGAGTACATAAACTTTCCACTCAAAATAACTTTTATAATCTTTACAATCTAAATATCTATTTTTCTTATAAGAAAATAATTAATCTGAATTTAATTGTATCCATTCTTATAAGTGATGAAAAGCTCCTCTCTTTTCCTAAATAAAATGTTAGCAATTACAAAATAATAAGCAAGAATAAAATCTAATATAGTCCTAACCAACTTCACTAGTTGCTCGAAAAGATCACCCATAAATGTTTTTAAAATCTACTCTAATAAAAACTCTTTCTTCAAGACATACAATTGTATTAATCTTCTAAGAAGAGTTTAAGGAAGAAAACATTTAAATAATTTGAAATTTAAACCTTGCAAACTGATTTGTTATGCAAACATGTATGTCTATATAAAATTAACAACAAAAAAACTTTATTTAGCAGGGAATCAACCAAGGTACCTTTCACAAAAAGACCAGAACATGGAGCTCCTCCCGTAACACTGCAAAATCATCTGCTGCAAGACAAAACTAAGCTGGACATTGTATGGCATCCAAAACCCACCTTTATTCGATAAAATCCACCTTTCCCTTAATGCTGATATAATGAATGTAGAAAATGCAATCATGTCATAGAAGAAGTAAACATATGTTATATTTAATCTTATCAAAAGTTTCAATGAGGAGCAATAAAGTGAAATACCTACATGATGGAAAAAAATTGGCATAATATTTTGATAACAGTGTGTCAAGATGACAAAAAAAAATCGTAGTTAGAATGTGTCTACATATTGTGAGAGAGAAACTATTTAAATAGAAAAATTATCAAAGCATCTTCAATGGTCAGCAAGGTCAGGGATTTCTCCTAACACCTCCAAATCATATTACTGCAAATACTTTGTGCATCGAGTGAGCAAAAAATGCAGCATTGAGATAGCTAACATCAACATTCAGTCGGAATTAACCAACAATGTTAAAATGAAAAAAAAAAAAGGAAGATATGGTTTGTTTTGTAATAATTGAAGACTCTAAGCATGATAGTTAAGAGAAGAAAACAAAACAATAAAAAACCTAAAATGCTTAAAATTATTATAAATTATCAGCTCTAAAAAAATACAATTGTATTTCACAGATGTGAATTCAGCCAAAGGAAAAACCGCCATAAAAGAAAAAAATATCAACAAATTGGAATGACCGGCTCGTTATCTCAACACCGCTCCTGCCGAGGATTGAACTTGCAAGGGTGTTTTACATGCGTGAGGGAGGAGGATTCATATCTAATAATTTATTTGAATTTTGTGTGTATTGAATATATGCTTCTTATTGTGTGTGCTTACGATGTTAAAGACCGTGTTATTTGAATTCATGCAAATAGATAACATATTTTAAGAAAAAATGAAATTAACTATAGGTAAATGTAATTTGAAATCAAAGAGTTTATAAAAAAATTTAAAAAGTTTTGAAAGATAAGATTTTTATAATCATGAAAATGAGCAAACATAAAATAATAACTAAATATGTCAATTACCTAAATCAAGTAATAAATTTGAAATTTATAATTAATTAACGTCAACTAGATATATTGAATTGATTTTAGAATTACAACATTTCAATGAATTGATGTACTATAATTCAAATACAATTTTGTTTTGAAAAAAAAAACATTGAAATTTGTAAAAACATCATTTTGCTATGTAATTAAAATCTATATTGCCAACCAAATGAGCCCTTAGATCTATTGTATGTTTCTTCTTAAATTCTCTAATGAAACTTATACTAATTCAAAGTTCAATATAAATGATAATTATAAAAACACAAAACATATGTAATCAAGATACTAAAATCAAGAAACAATACAACAACATTCTATTAGATGTACTTCTGATTAATCTTGCTCATGGTAGAAGGACATGACATTTGGGCATTGCAAAATAATGAGCTGTGTAAGAATATTGAAAATATAAAATTATGGAATCCTTGAGGAAAATTTTCTTCCAAATATTGAAGCCAAGGAAAAATTCAAAGCAATTGAAAGAGTAGAAGTTCAAATTAGTAAATCTTCTAACACTATCAAATCAATTCAGCAAAATAGAGCTTGTCATGATGTAAGAATTCAATGTGATTGAAGCTTGTGAGAATTTTTAGACTGTTTAAATTTGCAAGTTAACATTTCCCGACTGTTAAATTGAGGCTAATCTAATAGCTTTCCTATGCTTAAAGGTTTATCCATATTCTTCATAATTCAGTGGAAGCTTGTCTTGACTTGATGTCCATAACAAAGAATAGTTTGTTCAATTTATCCCTATTTCAAGAACAATGTCACAATATTTGAACTTCTTAGTTGCCAGCATAACATCAAATTCAATAAACCTTATTAGTGAATATATTTAATGAACATTTATATCTAATAAAATATAGTAAATATAATTTATGTCCAATCTCTCTTTTCAACATTTATTTAGCACTTTAATAATTTTTTCCCTTGGGAAATTAAATGAGGAATTTTCAAATTATAAAAAGATTTATTCAGTGTATTAAATCAAATTATAAAAGAAAAAAATTAGTTCAATAAAAAAAGACGGGAATCATAGAGAAAGCATAAATTAAATGACAAATTATTAAATATGTATATGATACATTTAAATCAAATATAGCAGCTGGAGAAGAGGATAAAGAAGCATAAGTGTTACTTAAATATAGCCATCGAGGAGTTTGATAAAGTAAGAGGGTCATTTATCTCAAACTCTATAAAGTGAACTTATCTCAAACAAGCGCATATGCAGCTACAGCTAGGCAGTGAATTCTCTACAAGGAGGAAATAGCATCGTGAGAGGAAGATTAGTTCAATACAACAAAGAAAGGAAACTAGAGAGAACATAAATTAAATGACAAATTTTAAAAATATTTCAATGATACTCCATTCCTTCAATAACTCCGGAAAGTCATCAACCTTCTCATTCCTAATCTATTCAAGCAAGCATAATTCTTAAGTACTTATCAGATTATCGAATGAAAGCTTAACTTCTGTAATACATGGACATGAAACTTACCTGAACTTCTGGATAATTTGACATTAGACTTTGGCATGCAGCTTCATTAACATCGAATGCTCATTTCTAATTAGAAAGCAAAAAAAAGTTAGCTAAAGGAAGCATAAACATTAAAAAAAAAAGATGCATTGCAAACAAGGATCATTGAAATCAATAAAGTAGATTGAAGAGAGATACTTGTCGTCACAAGCTTTACACCAGCAACTTTAGCTCCGAGACAATATCAAAAATATAGTAGTTCGAGGAAGAGGATAAAGAAGCAGAAGTGCTACTTAAATAAATATAACAAGTTGAGAAGAGGATAAAGAAGTAGAAGCGTTATTTGTCTTGAACTCACAGATTGAACTTATCCCAAAAAATCAAGCGCCATAAGTAGTTGCAGGTAGGCTTTGAGTTCTCTAAAAGGAATAAATAGCACATGAGATGAATATGCAGGCAGGTTCACATGCAAGATGTGGAAGTTGTTTTGGTATTAGGCTGTTCGGTTGCTCTCACGGCAGTTTGGGTGCAAATGAAAAAGGTAATATATATCTATATTATAGGAAGAGGAACGTTTGTGAGAAAATGAAGAGTTGCAGGCGAATACGAAATAATTTTGAGAGCGGGTAATGTAATAGGTAATGTATATCTATATTAAAGGATTACGAAGGGTTAAGAGAAAACAAAGGGCCGCAAGCAAATATTTGATAAAATACAAAAAATGAACGGTTAGAGTTGAAAACAACGTCAGCACTTAAAGAAAAGCTTTCTCAAAATATCGTGAAAATGGGGAAACATATAAAACTAAATGGGGAAATGGAGGGCTCATAAAAATTACGAAGAGGCAATATTATATTAGTTAAGGTCCTTAAGGAAACAGATTAAAACGTTAAGAAGTTTTAGAATTAATTTGGAATGAGGTCTACATAAAGAGCATTAAATTATATAAGTATTATTTTTTTAATTATTAATTATTAATTTTTTATATTATAATGGATGGTCAAGATAATTCAAGTAGAAATAAAATGGATGGCCAAAATTTGCTAGGGAAGGAAGCTCAAGCCCCTTTTATAATAGTAGTATAGATATAGATTTTTTGTTCTTATTCCTGCATTCATATAGCCTCAAATATAAATTATGTAGTAATCTTGCTTCTGATTTGAATTTGATGCATTTATTTATTTATTGACTATTAATAAAGTGAAAAAATTACATAAATTACTTTATAAGATAACTTTAATTGATAGTTATTCTTATAAATGATAAATTATACTATACAATTATACAGTTTACACACATGCACAGATGCACACAACCACATGCACTTGAGAAAGATAAAATTATTTTTTTTATTTTACTCCTCTATTATTATTCTTATTTCTAAATGTTTTAGCCAACACAATGAAATGAAAGAAATGTGTTAGCCTATGGGATGAATAAATGAGGACTCCGGATTATTAATAGGACTAAATGTGATTTTAGGTATTAATTAAATTCATATGCTGTTAGAATATTTTTAAAATGTGAAGCATTAAAAATTTTGATTGATCTATATTAGTGAAGCTAAAAAAAAATTAATTTTTTTTGTAAAGTATTTTTAATTGATATTTGTTCTTATAAATAAAAATATATATTATATAATTCACATACTAAAACAAACACATACGTAAGCAATGTGTATTTCACCCTCTGCTGCTATTCTTACTCCTAAATGTGATAGCATAAGCAATATGTTGAATGTAATAATTACGAAGCTTTTGACCAATAGGTTAGTTATTATCTTACTTTATAGAAATTAGACTATTACATTAATTGATTCATTTGGTTGCAGGATTTGAAATAAATCCTGCCAAACGCCAAAAGACACCAAGTTAAATCTCATGGCAAATATAATCTTCACTTCATTACATTAGTTTTTAATTACTAATTGTACTATTTTAATTAAGCTAAATTAGAACATTAATTTATGCATTATTATACTATTAAAAAATTAATTAATATACAATCATTAATTTTTTAAACTATATTAATTAAGCTAAATTCGATTAATTTCTTTCCAATAGGTTAGAGGCGTCTGGCTTTGCTTTTCATCTTCTAAATTTCGTCGTCGACTTCTTTGCTTCGCGAGAGGTAGGTTTTGCGAGTCGCTTCTTCGGCTCCTTCGTTGCTGTTCGACTTCGCTGCTTCGACCACGTTCCCTTTCTGTCGGATCGGATGTCACGACATTTTAATCGGAAGCAACTACAGGAGATCGCTCGCTGTGAAAGTAACTATCTTTCGCCCTTTCGCGCGCTTCTTCGGCCAAATCCCGTAAACCCGCTAAAATTTCAGGATTCACTAAATCCCGGATTTACGGTCTAGAGGGAGACGTCGGATTTATTCCGCCGTGAGGAGATTTAGCATGTGCTCAAATCCCGTATGACAGGATTTGGCATAAATCCTAATCAAAATCGGCATAAATCCAGCATCCAAACAACCCCTAAAGCTCTCTAACCCTTCCAGATACTACAAGATGCATAATATAAATGAGAATCATGAGATTGATTAGCGACATACTCCTAGCAAGAGAGAGCGAGAGCGAGCGAGCGAGAGAGAGAGAGAGAGAGAGAGAGAGAGAGAAAGAACTACCTTCTTCAGCATCGAGAGCCGTTCGCCTGAACGGGGAGAGTCTTCCGAGGCCAGGGCAGATCTCGTGAGCGGGAGATTCTTCCGCGTCGAGAGCCGATCTTGTGAGCGGGGAGAGTTCTGCATCGATCTCTTGAGCAAGTTAATAGAGAGTAGAGAAGGGAGTCGGGAGGAAGGAGAAAGGAATAAATCAGAAAGCGAGATTAGGGCTTTATTTATAGAGAACGCGGAAAGGATTCTTAACGGACTGAAAATTAAATTAGTAAAGATTCGAACTATTCAATTTGAAGTCCGGATGAATGAAGTTGCCGTTATGCATAACGCAATTCAAATTATTATTCAAAGTTAATTTAAAATTAGAAAGAAATATTTTTATATATTTAAGCGTAAAATAGCCGAATTATGTATTTTCATTTTTAAAATATATTTCAACTTTTTTTACATATAATAGTATATTTTATAAAAAAAAACATTTTAAACTTGTTTTATTTTTATTTGAAAAAGTTTTAAATAAAATTTTATTTTATTTCATCAACTAACCAATAATTTTATTTTATTAAATAAAACTTTTGGCTTACTGGGGCACACTCTCGCAGTTTCTTCCTCGTGTTCGAACATCTAGATCTGTTGCACCATCATTCGCAATTTCTTTCTCCCGATCGATTGTCTATGTCTATCGCACCATCGCTTAAGGTTTCTTTCTTCCTCCCGATCAAATGCTTAGGTATGCAATCACGCGAAGTAAAAACACAATTTCCTTCTTCTGACCGCCCATTGCCCTATCGATCTCGCATGATTGCTCCCTTTCGAAATCCTATGGCTGCAATCAAGATAGGTAAAACTTTGTACATATCTTGTTTGATGTTTGTAACCTTACAAACTGAGATATAACGTGTGACTTACATTTTTATAATTTGACACAAAGCAAACTATCTTGAGGAAATTGACAAGTTCTTCAAATTTTCAGACATTGATTATTAAATTATTTATCTGTTGTTGCTGGTATTTCTCATAGTTAAAGAAGAAGTAAAATTTCAAATTTTATTGTAACCTTTGTCGATCTGATAACCAGGGCAAATTATCTTCAAAAAAAAAAAGCAGAGCAAATTATTGCATCCAGCCACCGGATGTGGAGATAGGTCCGGATATTAATAAAATATTATTTTAAATTAAGCGCAACTAAAGTGCAGGTAAAGCGCAACTAAAGCGCAGTCAAAAGCACAGTCAAAGCGCAACTAAAGCGCAAGTCAAAAACGCAGGTGACGTGGCAAGTTTTTATTGGATGTCTGAACCTATTCTCCGTGTCCGGTGACCGGATGCAATAATTTGCCGATAAGCAGACATGTTTCCACTGAATTTAGTCACGATTTGCTTGCTTAGAAATAACTTTGATGATGATGGTCGATATGCCGCACCATTATTCGCAGCGTCTTCCTCTTGGTCAATTGCATGGGTCTATTGCACAATCGCTCGAGGTTTCTTTCTCCCTCCCGATCAAATGCTTAGGTATGCCGTGCCATCACTCTAATGTTGCGTTTGAGAGGGCTGCAGCTGTCGGTAAAACAGGTTGAGAAATTATTATACAAAAAGTTGCTTTATGAAGTTGTTGTATAGAAATCATTATATTTTGTTTGAATAGTATAAAATTGTATCCACTTTTTCAAAAAAATTTATGACTTTTAAATATCAATAAACTCCAAATATTTTTTAAAATGACTTTTACTTCAAGCAAATTTTACAGGTCAGTTGTATCTTATATAACTTAAGAATGTTCAAACAAAATTTACAAGTCAGTTGTATCAAACAAAATTACTGAAAACTGCTTCAAACAAATTAAATTCATATCCATTTTAACTAAAGATGGCTACACAAGAATTTAAAAACCAGTAAGCAACAATTTTAACCTCCTACTACTTGAAAAATTGAAATAAATAAAAACTTGCCTTTATTCCATATAAAACCACTAACCAACTGAAACTAAAGTAGAAATTTTTATTCAGGGAAAAGTCCATTTGCATGCCTCAGGTTATGAAATTTATAAGCAATTTACCATTAATCCTTAAAATTTTCTACCTCAAAAGTTAGTTCACTTCATATCTGCAATGCATATAGATATATTCACGAGAATGCCCAATAAAATCACAAATAAAACCAAACAGTTGTGGGAGAAGAAGCTCTAGTAATCCCCCCACACGTCACAGCAGAAATGAAAGAAATTTGTGAAGAAAGACATAAAAAATCACAAATCAGTGAAAAAATGACGAAGAGGAATGAAGCAGGGTAGAGTCCAAAGCTGAGAATAGGATGAATACATGGGAACAGAGAATAGGATAACTGTCAATGGCTTTGAAGCATGAGGTAATTTACAAGTGAAGGAATTTGGGAATGAACAAGATTTTTTATACTGTAAAGCTATTTTAAAAAGCAGGAAAAAAGTTGTCCCAAACAAAACTTAAGTCTACCATACAATATTTTGAAGGCTTTGAAGCATGAGGTAATTTACAAGTGGAAGCAGGAGCTGTAGGGTGTAATACCCAAATTTACTGGCAAAGAAATTTTAATAGTAAATTATTTTAAAGTTAAATAAGTATAATTAATATTTTTATTTATAATACATTCTTAAAGAAATTAATAATTAGACTGTTAAGTGAATTCAGTGAATTACTGTTGAGTAAACTATTAAGTGAAGGAATTATTATTATTAAGCAAAATTAATCGCTTATAATTAATTCCTTACAGTTATTTCCTGAAGAGGTGTGTTCCCTTTTGGACGTGAGTATAGGATAACTATCAATGGCCCTCTTATCTACTCTTTTACATATTTTTCATGCAAGCATGTTTGGGAGACTATAACAGTATTTGGTAGTGGGAAATAGATACATGAGGAATTCGGAAGTGGAAATACATAACAGTATCTTGAAGAGAAAGTTCGGCACAGTGTTTTCAACATTGTAAAGAATGTCTGAGAACAAGGCTGAAGGAATTTTGTGACTTTGAAGGAAATCTGCATGCTGAGAGATCGGCACATTGACTGCTTGCGGGGCTATGTAGATCAATTCGGAAGTGTAGGAGCAATGTTCGGAATTCTGAGATAGGAGCAGTAATTTTGCTGTGAAGGATTGGTAGCCGATTAAGAGCAGTAAGGGTTTGGAGGAATAAGAAGCAACGGAAAGTTGAGAGAAGAAGAATAAGAAAGAAAATTCAGAGAAAATAATTCCTTCGGTTACACTTTTCTGAAGAAATTTTCAGAAAATCTTGTAGCAGAATCCAGAAAAATGTGTAGGAAGATTTCAGCATACTGCAAGATTTACTGTAGCATAGTTCGCTACAGTACCCGCGGCACTGTAGCATGGCGAATTTTTGTACGAGTGAGAATAATGGTGTAGACTGCTGTGAAGGTTTGGAGGAGTATAAAACAAAGGAAATTTTGAGGAAAGAAGAAGTTAGAGGTAAGTATTTTGATATAGTCGTAATTGTAATAATTTATGAATAAATTTATCAATTGTTGCCAAATTTTGTATAAGTTATCTGACTATATGCAGAAAGAAAGTTTTGGGTTAGTATATCAAAGGAAAATATTGCGTGGTGTAGGTTTGGAAGGGATCACTTGTCAAGAAGGTAAGTTGTGTAAGTTTAGTTCACCAATGCCATTATTATTGATTCTACATACATCTATAATGCTTTATGAATATTCCAATAATGATAATGAGTATATTACAAAGTTGTTATGGATGATGGATCACTTGCATACATGTATTAGTGAGGTTTAAAATGAGATGTATAATGATGAGTCTTAGGTTTTCATAATTGATATTAAATTGAAAGGAATTCATTAAAGTTCATAACTTCATATTGACAAAAGTATTCCAGCATGTAATTAGTGTAAGATACATAAGATACAAATTCTTACAAAATATTGTATATTGCATGTCATGTATAAATTAAGAATATATGAAATATATGGAATATTAAATTCAAGTAAAGAATGCTATCTATGATATGATGTCTGCAATATTAGGTGGGCAAAAGGGACCCAAATATAAAGCCTGTATTGCAGATGGGGCAAAAGGGACCCCAAAGGAAATGAATACCTGCATAGTAGGTGGGGCAAAAGAGACCCCTAAAGAGGCAAAAGGGACCTCGATATAATTCAATGGCGATCATGCCAGGTTTACCTGGGCTTCATTGAATATGATTATGAAAATATAGCCAAGTCTTTTACTAGATGAATTTGATATTCAATGTAACTTCAAAAGAAGTTAAGATTAATGTTAAAGATGATCTTATGATATTTTACAAGTAAAGGTAAGTTTAGTCAAAGATGATTTTAACGATTTGATAAATTACAATTATTGTATTTTAATTGTTAATTAACTTGCATAACTTACTGAGCCTCATAGCTCACCAGTATTTTTCTTACTGGCTGTTGTTACAGGAAAATGAAATGAGAAGAATGTTGCAGATTAATTTTGTAAGTAATTTCATAAATTATGTTAGTATAATCTTTGTTGTGAAGTCTAAAATTGAGGTATATAAACTTTTCAGTGATGTAATACTTTGTATTTCTGTAGTGGCTCTGTAAGTATGTTTTTATTGAAGTTTAAAATTATTAGGTGCTTCCAGTGATGTGATGAAATGAAACTATTGGATCTGTTCATAAAAATTTTCAAATGTTTCAAAAGTATCATAAGATTGATTTAAGAAAATGTTATGTTTCTGTTAGTAATATCCCCTGTACTGTTAAGGGATATTGTGGGGTGTTACATAGGGTGATGAAATCATATCAGGGAGGTCTTTATCATGGCATGGCAACAGCTTTCCCTTCTCCTGTTACCTTCCCTCATTATGCCATCCATTAGGGTATTCAATATAATGCATACAAATAAGTTTGACACTCTGGAAGTTGCTTGCAATGCTGATTCTTTGCATATGCATGCATGTACATGTTTCATTGAAATAGACTATGTTTCTTTGATATTTAGGATGTCTTTATGCAAGTGAAGCATGCGATCCTATACATTTCAAACCAGAATTTTCCACACTTATTCTGAGGTAAGTAGGTAACCAATTTGATGCAATGAAGGCTTCGTTTGGGACGGCTTTCTTACTGCCTCTTGAAGTGACTTTCTAGTAAAAAATTTCAACTTTTTGTACTAGAAAACTGCTTCAAGAAGCAGTAGAAAAGCCATCCCAAATGAATCCGAAATTTTGAGGATAAAGTGAATACAATTTGTGTCACATAAAACTATAATTTTACATAATGATTTTTCTATGGATATGATACTAAGCCATGTTGCCAACGATGTCAGCACAAGATACAGGTATTTAGAGATTCATTGTTGTGTTCTGACAATAGCCTATCCTTCATGAGAGAAAACCCACCACTAGTTTTTATTTGGCTTGAGTATTTTATTTCACAAAAGATCAGCAATAACTTACTTCCCTGAGAAGAAGCATGGTCCTTACAATAATTTACCTCATTTCATTTCTCCAAACTATCATGTTAAACAAAATTGACAGGAAACTGTGGAAATTTGCCGCATCAACCAGTAAAAAAAAGGGCTATGACTAAAGCAAGATAAGATTTTACATGATATGATCTATTTCAGCTTTGGTAATATTCTTTATAATCTAACTTGGAGGAACTATTTTTTAAATGTATTGTATAAGATAGTTAAACAGTCGGTCATATTGTGAGGATTTCTTCTGTGCTGTCAATTTTATACATTGATGAATTACTTACAAAATTAAAAAAAGAAAAGAAGAGCATTGCCAAATGAAGCCAAAAAAGTGAAAATTGAGAGCACAGCAAGTACAAAACATGAGAATAATGTAAACGCCAGAAATTGGCTTGGATCAAAATCACCTAAATTTATTAAATAAAAGAACTGAATTACGGCCTACATATTTAATTGCTCAAATGAATTTTGACAGGTTGCCAACAACGCAACAACTGTCAAGAACAATACGCCTAAATAAAAAAATAAAAAAATAAAAAACATAACGGGTGGCTTAAGTAGAGACAGTACGCAATGCCTTTATTTTTTATAAATTTCTCATACTTTCTTGAGAGTTGCCTTATTATTGCTGGAACAAAACTGAGAATATGGATAAATTACCAGCATTTACGATCTACTCTCTTCGGCTTCGGGCTTGGCATTTACATTGGCCTGCCGTATCAAAGTTTCATCCTGAAACAACATAGTAAATAATTCAATAAAAGGGTGTTTAGGACAGTTTTTTAAACAATTCACCCTTTTTTATACTTTTGTTTAACCACAATTTCTTTTTGTTGCTTTTAAGAAAGCGAGAAAAAATTTCACAAATCATATCTATTAAGATGTGGTAACTGTCAAATAATTGATGTCGAACTTATTTTGAAGGATATGCTAATGCGGACATCCGACGGTGGATGTGAATCAAAAGAAGAGACAAAGATCGACGGTCGAGATCCCTCCATTTTATCTTAGTTTATGAATTCTATTTTTTATTTAATTATGCATTTTCCTTTTTTACCCATACTTAAGGGTCTTGTCTTATGTAAGCCCAAGTGACAAAGTTGTCTTTTAGTTTCTTTTAAGGCCTATATATAGAGGTCATTGCTCGTGTATTAGACAATGATGGATTAAAAAAAAAAAATTGTTTCTACACTTTGTTCTTACGAGCTATGAGAGTTCTTAGGAGAGTAGAAGTCCCTATGCGAGGGCAATGAAATACCCACCGGCTATAGGATGTGTCCGGGCTTATGGTTGAAGTCCCTAGGTGAGGGCATCGCATCACCCATCAGTCGCAAGATGTGTCCGGGCTCAAATTTTATCTTCTTTCCCTATCTCCTTCCCTCTCTCTTTTCTCCCCTTACTCCAACTCTCGGCCACCACCTTCCCCTTCTCTCTATCGCCGGCTCCAATCCCCTCTCCACAACAAGTTTTCGTTTCTCCTCCCCACACCCCCACCCCTCAAATTCAAAAAAGCATCTTCATTTCCTTCCAAAATTAATCTTTTGTTAACTTGGAAAGTTTCTAATTTGAATGCAATTTAATTTGAATTTCAAATCACTTTTCTAATTAATAGATCTAATTTAGGAAGCCCCTCCAATCCCTTCAAATCTGAAATTAATTTCATATTTAATTACCCCATCACATTTAATGATATGCTCCACATATATCGAATGTGGACATCTTTCCTCCCTCATCCTTTGGCCATCCCCCCCTCCCCTCTATCCTAATGATTTCCTTCCTAACTAAAGGCCCCAATTAAAGAGATAATTCATTCCTCACTTCCCTCCTTTTTTTCTTATTTGAATTTCAAATTTAAATCCATTAATTAAGAGAAATCTGAGATGGAATATTAGATCTTTAATTCTTATTACCCCCCTCCGTTTTACATCATATGCATGCATGAGCTGCTACTTGTGTTCAAACACAAGTTGGTTTTACCAAGTATTTTCCAATTTTAGTTGGATTATGTAAAGGATCATCTTTAAGCCCATGCCTTTTTTCCCTATTCATGGATGTTCTTACTAGACATTTGTGAGAGGATGTACCATGGTATATGCTTTTTGCTGATGATATTCTTCTTGTTGATAAGACTAGAGTCGAAATTGAAGATAAACTTGAACTATGAAGGTCAACCTTAGAGTCTAAAGATTTTTGTTTAAGTAGATGTAAAACCATATATACGAAGTATAATTTTAGTATTAACAGATTTAGTGGGGGAACTATGACTTTGAGTGATCAAGTCATTAACAAAAGTACACATTATAGATCTAGGGTCTACTGTTCAAATTGATGGTAAAATAGATGGGGATATTATTAGTACAATTCAAGTTGGATGGTTGAAGTGGAGGAATGCATTGGCCATGTTGTGTGATAGAAAAGTAATCCTCAAATTTAAGGGCAAATTTTATTAGATAGTGGTGAGACTAGCAATGATTTATGGCACAAAATGTTGACGATTAAAATGAAAGCATAAAATTCAGTTAAGTATTGCAGAGATGAGGATGCTCAGGTGGATGAGTGGTTTTACTCTTAGAGAGAGAATGTGAAATGAATATATATGTGAAAATGTTGGAGTAGCTCCAATGATAGAAAACATTAGAGAGTCACCAAGATGGTTTGGTCACATAAAATGTCAGCCTTCCGATAACCCGGTTAGGAGAGTAGATGTATTAGATTTGGTCTATGTTAAGAAAGGTAGAGGTAGGTCTAAAAAGACTTGGTTAGAAAATATTCGAAATGCCCTTTTTTGTTAGATTTAAATGAAAATTTCACTCTTAATATAACATAATGGAGAAAAAAGGATTTATGTAGCCAAACTCATGGAGTGGGATAAAGGTTTGTTGTTGCTGTTGGTAGTGACAGCAATAATTCAACAGCTAATTTTCAAATATATGCAACCATCCCAAAGAGATCCTAACATGCAAAGAATGTTGGGTTTTCAGAATCATGATGGCGTGTGATGTCAACATAGGGGTAGCTCACCTTGATGCACACATAGATGTAGTGAACTTCAGCATTTGAGCCGATAATATCAGCGATTGAGTTGCCATCTTTGCTTAATGGAAGTGGTTTGGTTAACTCCCAGGCCCTCTGCTCTGGATTCTTCTCCATCCTATCTGCATAAGCAGATGCAGTAAAATGTCAGCAAATTATTACCACAGACCAATTCAGTCAGGACTTTGAATATTTTAGATACAGAAGAATATCAAAATAAGTATGCGTTTTGTTTCAGGACAGTTTATGAAGCAGAAAATAGCTCGTCAACGAATATTTTGTATCCTACACGGCTAGAAAGTCATCAATAAAAAAAAAACAATAGGCTCTCAATAACAATGATATCTCTATTCAGCCAATGGCCAAACAGATGCTTTATTGCATTCCTGAAGAGACAGTGGACTCTGCCTATGTCCCACTCTGTGGTTTGGGACACACCTGCGAGGGTGTGGCTAGGGCTACTGTTTTTTTTCTGCTCACAAGCAGATGGTGAAAAGTTCGGAGGTACCCACAAACCAAGCATGACACATGGGTCGCACTGCAGATGGGTCATAAACCCTAAACCCTAAATTGTACACAAGATCCTAAAAGCATACAAATGATTGGCTTCTCGGGTTCTAGTGTACATACGATCTCATGAGGGTTGTGCTATATAACACAATTCTGAAGTTGTTTGATGTCTGTTTTGCATGACATCTTTGATATATGGTTGTGAACTTCATGAATTACATCAAGTAAATTTTAAATACCAACATAGATCATGAATTAACAACATAAAATTTAAAAAAAAAAAAAAAAAAAAAAAAATAAATTAAAAAAAAAAAAAAAAAAAAAAAAAAAAAAAAAAAAAAAAAGATATGCCCTAACATGATCTTTGCTACAATAACCATTAAAAAAATAACAGTGATTACCTATTACATGCAAATTTATGGTCCACAATTGCAGCTCCTTCAACAAATGCAACCTATAGCTTGGCTCTCCATATGTAATCTGCATTAGTAAAGAAATTATGATGAAATTCAAGTACCAACAGTTTTGTTTGTCACACATTACAGGTAGAGGTAAATTTTAGTAAGATGTTGGATCTGATCGCTTAAGAAAAGAATACATATACCAGGATATAGACACCATTGTCTTTTAGGATCCTGAGATTAAAAAAGAGAGGGACAGTTACTACGAAAATAATAATATAATTCCGTATACATGGAATACAAAGGAGTTAAAAATCTAAGTATAGCATAGTATAATCATTTCACCTGCCAACCTCCTCCAACATCTTCGATGTATTATGATGTGCATTCTGGCCACACTATATGCATACAAGAGCATGAATGCAATAAGTAATAATGTTAAATACTAAAAATAAGCAACTGCCTAGTTTTTGCCCACCCACCATGAGAGAGTCCAGTGTTCCTGAACATAAAGGATAGCATATCAGAAGAAATACTACAAGAATCACAAAGTTTTATAGAACTTCTACAGTGAACCAAGAAAAATGAAGAGGAAAGAGGACAGTAAACAACAAATTCTGAAAACGTAATCCAAAGGTGTTTAATAAAATGGATCAATACCTTTATCAATAACAGCATCAAAAGAACTAGATTCAAATGCACTCATATCCCGTACATCCATTTTAATGTCTGCAATGGTAGTTAGAAGGAAAGTATGCACAAAAATGTTGCAAAACATGGATTCAAATAGGAAGGCACACACAAGAATGTTGCAAAGCTAAACAGATTCAAAGAGGAAAGAAAAAACTCTATGCATCTGGATACACTTCAGCTCTGGTTTGTCCTCGTGTTTCTTCTGCATAGCCTCAACCACAACTGATGATATATCAATGTTGACAACATCCAAGTAACCATCAGAGACCAACTCTTCTCCGAGTGCTGTTAAATTTTGGATGGATATAGGCAATTAACAATATAAAGCTAAAGCTAAATTATTGAACAGGAATGCATCACATTTGATGAATCATGATGCATCATTCTCAGAAAGAGAGAAAAAAGCCGTATCTTTAATCATAGAGGTTATGTTAAAGATAAGATGAAATCAGCATATCTTATGGATCAGAAACAACTTGGAGATCAATAATGGGTCTATGCATGAAGATTTCATTTAAACCTTTTTTAAGTAGAGAAAGTGGCAAGACATAAAATAAAATAAAAACATCCTGTAGCTTCTTTTCTGGATTGCATACTCCTGATCAAAACTAAGTGATCCACAATGTATTTCCAGGATGAATTCATGACCTTTTTCTGCCAATCTTTTCTTTATTTTATGGCCATGATTCCAACCGCTTAAGCATGGAAATTTGGATTTTTTTTTCCATCCCTGTTTTGCGCCCTGGTAACTTGGATGGAATTGTTGGCAGAAATGGATGCATTCACTGAATAGCCAGGTACAAAAGAATGGTGATCTATAGAAGCTGAAGTAGCTAAGCCACATGTAATAGAAGTTTGGATATTATAAACTGGCAAAGCGATCAATGATTTGGAGGATGATGAAGGGTGGAAAAGAAAGTTAGTCCCATGCATGGTGCAAGGACGGTATCCAGCATATGGAGATTCAACGGCAAACCTAACCGATCTATCGGAGAGGGGATGCTGAAAACATTTTCGATTATGGAGAGGACCATACCAGCGGGGAAGAGCCGTCCGAGCTTGCACGCGAAGCAGCCGGTCCAGTTTTGCAGTTAACTGAGTGTTAGTTTTGAAGAGGGAAAATATTTTTAGGTGGCTGAATTATCCAGCATATGGAGATTCAACGGCAAACCTAACCGATCTATCGGAGAGGGGATGCTGAAAACATTTTCGATCGGTATGGAGAGGACCATACCAGCGGGAAGAGCCGTCCGAGCTCGCACGCGAAGCAGCCGGTCCAGTTTTGCAGTTAACTGAGTGTTAGTTTTGAAGAGGGAAAATATTTTTAGGTGGCTGAATAGTAAAAAGAGAAGTTTTAGTGTTAGGTAAGTAAATATGGAAGTTTCAAGTGTTATGTATGTAAAAACCCTTTTTTATGTGTAACAAATAAAAAACTAACAAACTGGTAATTTGATTATAATTCTCATACATACTCATATTTGATCTTAAGCTTTTTTTTTTAATCTCTCTCACTCTCTATTTATTTCTTTGAGTTTAACACAATAAGATTTTTTTGAGTAAGGGCATCTCCAACCAAAAACCCATTTTCCACTCTAAAATATAGTAAAACTTCAAAATGACGTAATTCATCTCCAATCGAACTCTATTTTTCTCCTCTTTCGCGCGCTTCCTGCAAAGGTAACCATCCCTCTCCTCTTTTGCGCGTGTTTCTCTTCTTTCGCGCGCTTCTTAGGAAAATTCGCAAAGCAATTTTTTGGCGTAAGTGAACATTGCGACACCAATATTGACGTCGCTCTGTTCACTTATCGAATTTTGGCATGAGATTTGGAGTTCGAATGCAGCAAATGACAAACGTCATATGGTGGTATGCAGTTGGGTTGGAGATGGTTTAAGATAGCATAGTATTTACATCTTTATATAGATTTTTATTGAGTAAAGTTGTACATAAAAATTAAGAGAAACTAACATAAAGTCATAGTTATCATAAATTATCTTTTAGTAGAAAATTTGAGTCAAAATATCCTAAATAAAAATTGATTATGTGACTTTAAAAATCCTTAATTGGCTTAGATAAGACTGCACTTCCTCAAATCAAATTAATCCACTTCCTCAAGGCTGAGGGCTCAAATCTCTACATAAAAAGCTAATTTTTTTAGTTTTTATTTTTTAAAAAAAAGTCAACAGAACTCTTCAACACGATTCCGCAACTTCCTCGCCGCCGCCGGCATCTCCACTATACCTCTCCACAGGCGCCGTCACAAGAACCGCCGTCTCCTGCAGCGCGTTCAAATAAGCGGCTACGTCCACCTGCGCTGCCACGACCATTGCGTAGCGTGCCGCCGGCCGTCCAATAGCGGTGGCAGACCTTGCAGAAGTGTCGAGGCTGGTTGACGCTGTAGTTATTGAAGTAACAGAACCTCGTCTCCCGGCTCTTACACCGAGGGCACGGCAACACCGCCGCCGCGGTCGCCGCTGATCTTTTCTTCGAAGGATTTTTGTGGGCCACAATAAAAGTACCGAAGAGCTTAATAAAGCCTGGTGCTTTGTCGCCGCCACCCATGTCGACGTCGGCCATGGCCGCCGGAGTAACAGAGAAGATGAAACTGTTGCGTTAATGGTTGGTTGTTATAAAAAGAGTTCACGTATGAGAGGAATATATAAGAGGGTTCTGAAGATTTGGTCCTCTCCATTTAGCATAACATTAGTCATTGCGACAAAAATCAAAACAATAATTTTTTTTAAAAAATATTAATGAGTCATAAGTCAATATTTGAGAAATTGGTAGATTAGTATTATATAATTTTATAATATATAGTTAGTAGATTTACTTTATGAAAACAAACTATTTATTTATTTATATATTGGATATCTAAATATTTATATTTATTTTTAATCACATCAATATATATATATATATATATATATATAAGAATTAAAAATGTGTGTAAATAAGATGGTATAATATGAACTTAAAATCTTAAATGATGGTTTCATTCACACAGAAATCAATGATTTAGTACAGCACAAGAAGGCATGCACCAAGAGTGTAGGAAATTCAAGTTCTATTTTCCACGCTTTGAATGTTTATTTCACATTCCCAGGAGATTGTCTGGTTAGAAGATTTAGCGAGATTGAGGCTAAATCTTACAATATATATTAGGCCGCATAAATCCAATTGCCTTCTTAAATCTAGTTTTCCTCTAAATTTAGAACTCAATCCCGGATTTGAAAAAAATCTTGGGGGGAGTAGGATTTAAGAGATGTACATCAATACTCCTCATTGTTCCACTTATTCTCTTTGATTTAAATCTTAGTGCAAAAAGTTTCTCCAAAATCAATTCTATAAATCTGAATGAAGCCTTTGCAAAAACTTTAACTTTATACCTTTCATTTGCTTTGCATTTGAAAGTGCATACCCAGTTGCATCTTATTAACCTCTCTTCTTTTCGTAACTCTAACATCTTTCAAGTCTGATTTTCCAACAGAGCCATTTGCACTGTACTAGATAGAGTATACCCATTCGCATCCAATTAATTTTTTTCCTTCTGGTAATTCTATCACCCCCTAAGTTTGGTTTTCTTTTAGAACTCTTAATTTTTTTTCAATCATGATTTTTTCCATTCTTTATTCTGAAGTGCTTCTTGGATGATCTTGGAATCTTGATATTAATTATCTCAATGAGAAAGGCTTAATGGGATGAGGATAAGTTGAAGAGACAAATCAGATTAACTATTTGATGTTCGTTCACTTTTTACAATGATATGAAGACAAATATCATTCTCATTTTTTATTGACAGAGATGGGCAATATCTTTATTACATGGTGATTGATCTTGCACAGATTCTAATGGTTGAGTATGCGTTGGTTCAAGGTTGGATTATTTCCTCATTCTCGAGTAAATAGGCAGGGCATTGTTAGGGTTGCTTTTAGAATAGGCTAAAGCTATCTGAAAAGGAGGGTTTATCGAAGCTATTTAGGTTGCATGGATAGAAGTTGGGTGGCCATATAATGGTATAAAGGCTTGATGTTGATATTGTTGTTGTTTATAGAAGTTGGGGGATCAAATTTTAAAAAATTAAGGTTATCTTCATTCCAAGACTTCTGTTAAATGCAACCTTGGTTATAGAATCCTTGATTTTTAACAAAAATAACAAATCAGAAGATAAAAGATTTTCTAGAATATGGGTGATAATAACCTTTTACCGTCAAGGAGTATCCAAGAAAAATGTATTTCAAGGCTCTGGGATCAAGCTTAGTGTTTTAATGATATTGATGCATATGGATGTAGGCAACGCTCCCAAAGGTTTTTAGTGGGCGTTTTCATTGTTTTATATTGGGATAGAAATTTCTAAGGGTTTTGCTAGTCGTTTTATTTATAATATTCTACTAGGAAGATTGCTCATTAAAATGTGTTAGTTTAAAGCAGCTTCTCTCAAAAAAAAATTATAACTCCTTTCAAAGTGTAAGGCCCAAAGATCTCAAGCAGATACTAACTTTTTTTCTAATACCCCATTTTATTCTTGATTCTCTGTACATGAGAATTCACGGATAATACATTTTTCTTGGGAATAAAGGATAAGATTTTATTAAAATATTCACTCTGTTATCATAAATAATATGTTTAATATTAATTTTGAGTATGAATTAATTTATGGAACATAAAGAGGATTGAACTCACATTATATTTACACTTTATTAAGAATAACAAGGTAGTGCATGTGTAATGAATATTAAAAAAATAAATCACCTAGCCCCATTAATATTAGCCATATGAGATGAACCCCAAACATCAATATGGATTAAGGAGAAATATATGGAGGCATTTGAGTGGCTTAAATGATAGGATATTTTATGATATTTGGCCATTTGATATACCTCACAACAAACTCTTCAATTTTTATTTTATTGAATAATGCAGGAAACATATATTGTGTTTTACTCATATATTTTTAAGGAGAAATATATGGAGGCATTTTAGCATGTATGATGGAAAATTGGTGTTGTTTTATGACTCATATAATGTTCAGTCGCATAAGCTCATCAGGTTAAATGGTTATTCTCTTGAATATTTCTTTATACAATTAGATGACTTGCATTAAGGGTTTTAAAATTGCAGTAACCTCATTAATTGAGGTATAATGGTGAATTACACGTTTGATCTACAATTATGAGTTGGACAATCATACACATCGTATATTTGGGTGCAAACATCCTATGTGTTTAATTAGAAACCTCGTACCTAATGGCCATTATTTATTGTTCGAGGCTTCTGCTTCAAATTCTGGAAAGTAGCGCTATTCATGACCAATGTATTACTAAATGCATTTATTTTGATGGTTCAAACCGACGGATAAATGTGCACAATGTTATATAATTAAGCAACAGCTCTCACCATTTCCAAAAAACAAAGAACACTGGGATTAAAAAGAAGCAAAAAAGGGCCTCAACTATCTATCATATTCAACACCTTTCTTACAAGAAAAACACACATAAATAGCGCAAAGATCCGGCTACAACGCAAGGTGATGAAGAATTTGGGGAAGGCAGATGCGACTTACTAGAGTTGCCGCAGCCGACGACGAGGAGGTGATGGGAACGACGGATGTAGACATCGAAGAGAGGGGCTAGGGTTTTGTACTTCTGGTACCAGTCGAAAGGGCCCGGATCTTCGCTGTAACGCTGATCCCAATAGGATGGCTCACCGTACGCGTGCGTCGCCGTCGAAGAAGACATCTCTCTCTCTGTTTCTAGCTCGAACTCCGTGAGCGTAGCCGTGGAGATGAACGGCCGTTGCTTCGGGAAACAAAAGCATCCACAGTACATATCATTATATATATGAAATTTGACTTTCTACTTTGCATAATGCTTCTTATAAAAATAATAGCTTTGATCAAAACAACCTTATTTTTTAGGCTTTCTATTTATTCAAAGTAAATACTGTATATTCATTTAAATATTTTAGGAGAATTCTATTTTATTTGAATTATATGTGCACATTATTTAAATATCATTTATAACAAATTTGAATAAAATTTAAACAATATCTAACAATAATAGATATAATAGACTATATATTGTAGTGCAATCATAGTAGCTAAAGCATAATTATTTATAAGGTAGATAAAATAGAGTAATCAATAAATTATGACATCATAGAGAACTACTAAAGCATGTATGATTATGACGTACCAATTTATAACACAATAAAATAATATAGGAATGATGATATAGTGTAGAGATATTATAACAATTATGACTCAACAGATTATAAGATAACAAGCATTACATTAAATTTAAACCATAATAAATCACAATACTGACCATTATATCATTCATGTTCCATTATATTAAATCCAATTGTTATAAAGTTCCTACTATTGCAATATATGTAAAGCATAACTTTTTTAAGATATCAATGCTACTATTTTCAATATGCTCCAAAGATCCTTTAGGAGCATCTCTTACTAATGTTCCCAAGTATAAAGTGTATTGAATTCCCTTTGAGTTTTCCACCAATCCTCATATATTAGAAACTTCTTCAGCTTTCTGTCATTCTAAAGTTGTACTATAATCAATGAGAATACATATCCTAATTGAATTAATCATCATTTTTTCTCACTCTCAATAAAGAATACTATTATAGCTAAAGCACAACTCACCCCTGTGCTTGAATACTGCTCCACTATTCTGCTAATAATATTATGGAAATAAATGTTATGTTATGTAAGCCTTTTAAATCATATGTTATCTTAATAAATCCCTTATGTAGCAATATGCAATCTAACTCATAAATTAATTAATCTTTTGAATTCTTATTTGTGAGTAAGACCTCCACATTCAGCCATAGTCGTAACTTGTCATGCTTCTATCTTCAAAAATATTTATAATATCTAGTTATCTCATTTGAGTCTTGAGCGAGCTTTGGTGGATCGGATACCTAAAGTAATAGAATTTTATACACTCTAGATAATACGTGTCTTCACACTATAATTTTAATTATGTATTATCTATCCATTTAACACTTTTCTATGCCTATTTATAGGCAGTTTTATTCCAGAAATATTATATTTAATAGTTGCCTCTATATTAGCCACAATAACTTGACATAGTTATCCTCTTGAAACACCACAAAAAAAAATGCTTAACCTTTCTATCATTGTCTCTTCAAATTGTACATTGTATAAGATGGTTCTCACACCAGAATGAAAATTAACCTCCTAATCATAACTTGAAAATTTTAGAAATTGACTAAAATTTAAGATAAAAGGATTTACTATATTTTTGTAATTTTAAAATTATTTATTTTTTTATAAATAAATAACTATTATTACATAGACGCAAAATATATCATTATTAACAATACATAATTTAATTTTTTTTAATGTTTTCTATAGAAATTACAAACGCAATTTTCATTTTTATGAAAGACGCAAAATCATTTTGTGCATCTTCTCCTTTTAAATTTTTGTTAGTTATTGCTCCCTTCGTAAATAGTAATAATAACAATATATTTATTTATTTATTTATGTTCTTTTTTTAAAATTCTGCCTTTGAAAGGCTTGTAAAGCTTAAAAATGATATTTAAAATAAATTATCTATATACAAACAATCCTTTCATAATTATTTATGCATGAAGTGTGCTTGACTCGCTCGTGTTCAAATTATTCATTAAATAAGTAAGGCGATATTGAATAGTTATTTTTAACTTTTTCTCTTATTTAGTCAATTAAGTTGAGCCTCGTTCAATTCATATGGGGCTTGAGATTTTTTTTAGGGAAAAAAAGAAATGCATTAAAGAGTAAGAAAAATACACCGCAAGACCAATTAATGACCACATAGATAAAAATTACATCAAGAAGCGTACAATAAACGATCGGGCCAACCAGTCTTAACGAAAAAAAAAATAAGAAACTCCTCAGTCAATAGGACTAAGATGCCCCTGGCTGTCAAGCTTGGGACCATCCAAGGAGGTAAAAAGCAAACAGCCAAAATACCACAGAACCACATAGGTGTTGCGGATCTATGGCTTATGATTTTGATGATAACAAACATTCTTTTTCTCTACGACTGCCTTATCTACTGACATTTTCAGGTTCACACGATCGGACTGCGATTTGGAACCAGCTTAAGATTGGGTAGATTAGGTCTGAGTCAGTTTGTACCATTTTTCCTTTCTT